GACTGACAAGGTATATAAGCACGCAGAGTCTATTATTCAAATGAGAAACCCTCACCAATAGCAATAGCTGCGACTAAAAAAAGCTTCAAAAAACATGAGAAACAGTGATTCATTGCATTATATTTTCTATTTTTCAGACATCAAGGGAACTATGAATGTTCAATTAGATTATGGGAGGAAAATGTCAGTGTGATTTGTATAAACAGATGGTATGTCCAATCAGTGTAGGATTCTTGAATCTAAACGAGGACAATGACATCCCACACTCAATGCCATACAGATGCACTGTGTTTTAAGAACTTAATTTTTAGTTCACTTTTATTTCAGCCTATTTCATTGATAGAAGTGCTAAATTAAAGCTTAGTGTATGTTTATATATGACATTAACCATATAAAATATATTGCTAATTTGAAAGTTATTTCCATTTTATAACAATTCAACGAATTTATTTTTGCACGTTATTATAATCATTACTAGGTAATAATCAACAATTGTAATGGCCGAATTTTTTGGAGAAAATTGCACTGTCTACTTTTTAATCCAACAAGAAAAAAAATGTATAAAATTTTAGATTAGCTTCTTCAATAGTTTCTTTCGTTTTGGGTGGTCCAACTGCCGGCATTGAAAATCGGTGTAGGTGGATTTTTCAATGAAAATATAAGTCCCCCTAAAAATATTTGATGATAATTATTTGAAAATTTGAACCCCAAATAAGGGCCCGCCAGCCGTGAAACCACCAGGGCGATTTTTCGGATGGGCGAATTTACGGCAGAATTCGGTATTACAGAATGTGATTTTAGGTTTTTTTTGACAAAATGGCCACCATCTCGACAAATTTGATCAAATCTCAAGACAAAACATGTTGTTGTTTTACCACCTTGCAGAATACTACCTATGTACAAACTTTGAACTAAATCAGGTCATATCTTTCAGAGGAATCAGCACAAAAAGGAAAAAACAAAATGGTTGTAAGTCGGCCATTTTAGTTCAGATTTCAAAAAAAATATGGCGTGCACCTGTAACCCTATATGGATGAGCACCATACAAAGTTGGATTGAAATTGCCCCTTCAATCTCCAAGAAACAGTTCTGGACATATTACAGAATTATATTTTACATTTTTGGACAAAATGGCCACCATTTCAACAAATTTTATCAAATCTCAAGACAAAACATGCTGTTGTGTTACCTTGCAGTATACTACCTATGTAACTCTCAGGAGAATCAGGCCATATCTTACAGTTGGTCCAAATTTTGAAAGAAATATGACGTGCACGAGTAACCCAATATATATGATCATCATACAAAGTTTGATTGAAATCACCCTATTCAGCCCTGAGAAACCCTGTGATTTTAAGATATTAAACAAAATGGCCGCCATTTTGACAAATTTGATCAGATATCAAAACAAAACATGGTGTTGTGTTATCTTGAAGTATAGTACCTATGTACAAATTTTTAACTGAATCAGGCCATATCTTATGAATGAATCAGCACGAAAACGGGAAATGAACAAAATGGCCACCAGTCGACCATCTTGGACCGTATCTCGAAAAAAAAGTGACGTGCACCTATAACCAAATATGCATAATCACCATACAAAGTTTGATTGAAATCACCCTGTTCAGCTGCCAGTCAGCCATATTTAATCCAATTATAATGAAAATTGGCATGCATATGTAGGTCATCATACATTGTCTGTATGCCAAGTTTGAACGAGATCAGTCAAAGGGTGTCCGAGAAATGGCTCCGGACGGACGCACAGATGCACGGACGCATGGATGGAACCCAAATTAATAGTCCTCGTTTTCAGACTTTATACAATAATTCTCCTTATACAACAAATCACTATGTTTAATTAGCTTATTTTGTCTTCTGTGCTAATCTTGAAAAAAACAAAAACAAAAAATAATAACACAGTTAAACTACACATGACTTGTCCTGTATATGTTTAGACTAGCTGATATATATTTGTCTGACTTTAAACTTGTATTTAAACTTGTTTAATCAAAAATGGCTAGTTACTAGTTTTTTTGAAAAACCATGTCGTTTATTCGCTGAAATCAATTCCAACAGATTGTACTTCGACATCGATAATTCACTTCCGCATTGCGTTACCGGAAAGTCTTCGGGAATTTCCGGAGAATTGCGTCGTGATTGGTTAATAACCAGCTTGACCCATTAGGTCAAAGGACGCTGCTGCAGGTCAAATCTGCAAATTCATCATGGCGGAAAGAGATTTTCATGGAGAGTTTGCGTATGATCCAACACCTTCGTCAGTGGGGATAATGATGAGAGTTTTGACTTTGACTGTGTTCCAACAGACTCTAATATTTTTAATTTCATAAATTCTGGTGGTACGTAATTAATATTGTAATAAAATGTGCATATTTTTTGTGATCATTTCTGTTCCTTCATTGTGAAAATCAATGACGACGCAACTAATTTCGTAATTTGATTTTCCCTCAAAGACGTAACCTGTCACATGATGAATCAAAATTTTCATTTGCACTCTTCTTCGAGGGGGTGCTCGGGTAAGCGCCCACCCCTGAAAAATCATGATTTTCTGAGTTGAGGCCCCTGGGCGCTAAGGCGGTACGGTACAGTAGTCTAATGGTCCTTAATGAAAGAAAGAAATCATAAAACATGATCATTACCCATTTGAGTAGAATTTGAGAAGTCCTGTCTGGATGTAATTATTAGATGAATGAATTAATGTATATTTTATAGCAATTTGGATAAAAGGAAATTGTCAGACAACATGACTACTGGTAGATGTAGTGTTGAATCATAAAACAAGATGCAATCTCATGCTTTTAAATCTAATAGAACTCTACTAATTACTTACATAAACGACAGACCTGTGTCTATGGTCAAATCTTCTTGAAAACTACCAGCTCAATGTTTTGATACTTGGTGTGTAGGCACCTCTGTCAGATTTGTTTATTTTCTGGCAATAACTTTTTTTACTTTAATTCTTTCTCTACTTTAAGTGAATGTTTTTGCCTTTTTTGGATTAAATATGTTATTTTTAACTTCGTCTTGCAAAACTACCAGCTCAATTGCTTTGATACTAGGTATGTAGGCACTTTGGGTGGTCTTCTGTCAGATTTATTTATTTAATGACAATAACTTCAATTCTCTATTTTGTAATTTTTGGTATAAAATTGGATTTTTGACTTCTTCGTGAAAACTATCTGTTCAATTTTAAGCTTTGAAATTTAGTTTGTAAGGTACATTGATATTACTAATTGTAATTGTCATGGCAACAACCAAATAAACTACTATGGTAATGATAAATAGTTTAAATATTTCATCTTACAGAATAACTTTGTTTTGAAGAAAACACTCTACAAAGACAGCAGAGCTATTTTGACCCTTAGCTTGCTTAATTGTTGTAGACATGCTTCAAATAGAAATAAATATAAACAGTATTTACAGCAAAACATATAATAACAATCTGTTCATAGAAAGTATGCATGAATTCATCTTTCTTATTTATTACCATTCAAACACTTTCTTTTATATACACAGATACAGCGAGTCAATACAAAGCTACCCAAACATGTTTGGTATTATTTCACCAGCATCTCACCAGCCAGTTTGCTCAGGTAGTCTCCCATGTAATTACTAGGCACGCCCGATTAAAGTTAACTTTCGTGATAGTCGATCACCTGACTACTCGGCTATGATGATCATTTGAATTTTATTCGAATTGGAGTTCATTTAATGTTTGCAAATGTTTTGAGATTGCATTCGTTTACACTTGTGTCTTTTTAAGTTGACCTATGATCTCTATGCACTTCAGCAATCAGTACAATACTAAGCGACCATTTACGACATATTTATTCACTTTTTCAAACTTTCTCGGTGGTTCTTGATAATATAACAACACAGGTCAGACCAATCAGTGAGAAGCTCGTTTTTTTTTTCAACGTCTCAAATTCTGCCTTGGATGCGGTTTGTAGTATCAAAAAAATCACCCAAACGAAACAATTAACGATAGATTTAACAACTAAAACAACTCAAAAGTATTTCTACCTTCTTTAGCCCGTTTATCAAATAACTTCAACAACTTCTGTGAGTTGCTTCTTGATGTATTGACATCGGCCTGCAATCGTTTATTAGTCTGGGACATTAACTTGAGGGCTTCAATCCTCTCGTGTAGAGCCAGCTCTGTCTTCAATCTGCCATTTTGTAGTTCCACGTTCTTAGCCATCTGTGATTTTAGTTGGAGAGTCAACTCTTTCTCCTGATTGGACAGTTCACTGAAATTTGAAAACATAATTGAGTTTTAGCTACAAAGCTGTTATAAAGCATAACCAGGAAGAATATTCCCCTCAGTGTTGATCACTACATGTCTTTGCTAAGTAACCATGTGTGAAATAAACAATTTGAACTCTGACCCCACAATAAAGTGCAGAAAACATAACAAAACAATGACACAGTAGAGAACTTCATTTGAGGTTAAAGGTCATACAGGGACAAAGATCAATACATTTATACTTAAGGATGCTGTGTAGGTTTTTTTGCTTTGAAACCCAAAATTCTACTTTTTTGTATTTTTCAATGCTTGACTACAAGGAGCAAACACTCAGTAGGAAAAAAAGTGATTTGGATGTTTTTATAGGGTGTAAAAATCAATTTTTGTTAATTAAAAACAAAAGCACATGTCATTGTTTTGAAAGCTATGTTTTAATTAATCGGCCAAAGACATAATAGACAGATAATTTGCATAATAGTCACCACCCATAGCAAATATAAACAGTCTCTTGCATTCAGTACAAGCTCAGACTATGCTAGTAATACAAGTATTAATTTCGTTGAATTTCTCGCTCTTCAAACAGTTGATTATGAAACCGTCTTGGGGTTGACTATGACAGTGACGAAAGAAAACGAATCCAAAGAAATTTGGAGAAGA